ATTTTATTATTGGGTATATCACATTGACAAATAAGATGACAATTGAAATTTATTAAAGCAATATGATTTAATTTGTTCAAACATGCCCGATCATAATTTAAAATATTTTTTAATAATAACCGTGCATCGCGCGGGTACGACTACTAGTAATCTTACTATATGAAAGGCATGCCTTTGTGATGAAATCAGCTGAATCCACTCGATAATACAACATACAATTGATTCTGAGTGAGGAATTTACAGCGAAGGAAGAGAAGAGATGAAGTGAAGAAGATGAATCTCTATAATTTCATTAAGGCCACAAAATACACGCGAGTGTGGGCATTCATAAGTCTCACCTCTAACCGCCTCTAACAGATTATCTTTTAAGGACAAAACTATTCTAACTTTTACACATAAGTCCCTCAACTTAGTTTGAATGTAACTAGCCTATATCTATATTACAATATTCCCCTTCAAGCTGGTGGGCAAAACACATTGAGCACACCAGGCTTGGATTAAAGAAAATGATGTTGTGCTGATCCTAGACCCTTGGTCATAAGGTCAGCCAATTGTGAATTGGTAGAAATATATTATGGTGCCAATTATCCAGTCTTGATTTTATCTCGAACAAAATGACAATCTATCTCAATATTCTTAGTTCTTTCATGAAAGATGGGGTTGATTGCGATCTGCAAAGTAGCCTTAGGAACTGATTGATGGACATGGACTTGAAGCTCTTTCAGCAGTCCTAAAAACCATGTAATTTCTGCAGCTGTTGCTGCTCGACTCCTGTATTCAGCTTCTACTGAACTTCGACTCACAGTTTGTTGCTTCTTGGACTTCCAGGAAAGCAAAGAATCGCCCAATTTAAAGATGTACCCTGTGACTGATCTCCTAGTGTTTGCACATGAGGCCCAGTTAGAATCACAATAAGGAGATAGACTGTTGATAGGACCAGTGCTTAGAAAAACTCCAAAGCCTGGGGCTGATTTCACATAACTGACCACACGCAATGCTGCATCCCAATGAGATTGTTTGGGATGTTGCATAAACTGGCTGAGTACTTGAATTGCAAAGCTAAGATCTGGTCTAGTAATAGTTAGGTAGAGTAACTTCCCAATGAGTCTTTGGTAGCTTCCAATATCTTCCAGTTCCTCGTCTCCCTTGACTCCTACATGCTTATCATAGTCGATGGTACTCAATTTCTGATTCAATTCAATAGGAGTGGAGATTAGCTTGGCTGCTGCAAGTCCAACTTCTGAGATCAATTGTAGAGCATACTTTCTTTGAGTGAGGAGTATCCCTTCCTTTAATCTCAGAACTTCTATGCCAAGGAAATATCGAAGTTCTCCTAGATTCTTTACCTTAAAAGTATTGTGTAGGGTCTGTTTAGCCTCTTCTATCAGTTCTACATTGCTGTCAGTTATAAGTAAATC